TTTTTATTATAGTTTTAATTTATAGTTTATACCATTTAAGGTAAAAATATGTTTAATTGTTATTTTTTTATTTATTTATATATTTTTTATTAAAAAATTCCATATATGGAGGATTCCATATATGATCATATATGGAGGATTCCATATATGATCATATCTGGGGGATTCCATATATGATCATATCTGGTTGTATTTGGTCCAAAACCAAATATAACCGGATAAAAAAAATTTTATATGGCCATATATAAACTTTTTCATAAGGGTTTTCACCCTGAAAACATAAAATTTTGCAATTTCTTTCTAAACCATTTTGTAGAGCTCAAAAAAAACAAATAATTTAGCATGCATTGTTGCATGCCTAACGGTTACGGAAAAATCGCAAAATAATGTAAATTTAAAATTACCATGTTATTCTTATGGAGAATAAATACAGTGTTGTAGCTTGCTTGTGTATTCACATATATTAATGACATTTTGAAATTTTGTTTACTTCATACTGAGCTATTAATATTTCAATAAAAACCCCCTATTTTCTTCCCTGTGGCAGCAAACCTAAGTACTCATTAATATTAATGATGTTTAAATAGGAAATAAATCTGACAATTTTAAGGGAATAATTTAGTGGAATTCCAGCTGTGTATATGGAAATTCGCTTAGTCTGCAGGTTTGCTGCGGCGGGGTATTCTTAGTATGTTGTGGAATAAGATAAACCAGAATGTACATTTTATGACAAATATGTAGGGGGATAAAACAGGACTTTTTTGGCTGGGTGAGTGGGATTTTTGTTTTACTCCGGTGGAAAGACTTAATTATACCTAGACTTAATATATTTTACAATTCTCCAATATCTCATATAGTTATAATACAAGCTGGACCTGTTTTGTTTTCAACTTTGAATTGAATGTTTATAAATCAGAAAATCACTCAAAAAAAGTTGTATATTAGGTATGAAAGGTTATTCAAAAGTAACACACAAAACTGCCTCTTTAACGTCAGTTTATGAAATCAGCAAAACTCAATTCTGTTGAAATTGTATAAGCGCATCGACCATGAATAAACTACCAATGAAAACCATGAATTCTGCATGAATTTTATCATCCCACTATGGTGGCAACCCTGTATTACCTTTTTTTACAAGTATATTTTTTTATGGATACACCAATTATTGAATTGAAGTAGGTATGATTAATTAATTTTTTATAACCATTTTCAAAACTTTCAGTTTCCTTGCATCTTTTTTCTTCCTTGTCTGAAACATGAAATCCTCTAAAATTGGATACTTAAAGTCTGGTCCATGTTCTTGTAAGGGTTTGCCGATCAGAGGAAGAACTCTTGACAGCGCTCAGTGAATCCTGGGAACTTTAAATGGGTTGCAGCTAATAAAAACATTAGTGTTGTGTGCAGCTTGTTATTTTCATCTTAAATACCACAACAAATTCCATAAATACTTTTTTATGTGATATTTCATTATCAAAAGTGTAGTGTCAGTTTGGTTTACATCACTTAACCCCTTCGCTTACAACGACGGCGATCCGCCGTCGCGCTCCCGTTAGCCATTGTGTGAAGCGACGGCGAATCGCCGTCCGCTATTAAAACCTGTTTGTGCCGAGTTAGTTCCCCAGAAATCCAATAGATCGCATATGCTTCTTGTTCTATGATTTCCAGGCTTTCTTTTGGTTATATTTTCGTCATCTCAGTCCAGTCCAATCGGCAAAAAAACTGAAGTTGAAATGGTGCAACTTAGCAGCTGACGACGTCTACTCTGGTTTCACAGCTGATACGTTGTTGTGTTTACTTCGACGTAAACATTGTGTTAGAGCCTTGTTTTACTTTATTATTTTATTGAAAAGTGTAGTTATCTTATAAAATAAGTTATAGAATTTACTTAGTGTAAGTTTTTATCAGTATTTTACTTTTTCGTCGTTATAATGACTGAGTTATTAGGCCTATCATGTCGTGTTTCACTTCGTCGTGATAAAGATTGAGCTACAGTATCTTGTTTTACTATATTATTCAATTGAAAAGCTTTTGTATAATACGATGAGTCTTCAAAATAACTTGGTATTCGTGGATGAATGTGGAAAAGAGTTAGATGAAAGTGACATCATAAAACTTATAGGGGATTGTGACAGTGACAGTGATTGTGACTTGTTTGAGGAGAGTGGTTGGAGTGATGATGATGATTTGGAAGGGAGCAGAATTCAAGTGAGTAATAAGTCTAATACGCCTATTGATTATGAGACCACAGTTTCCCCAGAACATAATACTAATTGTGTTAGGCCTAGGCCATTAGAAAGTGACCAGTTGTTGCTTGAACAGCCTTCTTGCAGCTATGCTAGGCCTATGACCCCTCCAGATGCCCTTACTGTCCAATATAATTCAGATTTGTCTAGTAGGCCTGAAATATTTGATCAGCATGTATCTTCTCCATCACGTGATGAAGAATTGCCTAAATCAGTCCAGTTTCTTGATCGGTTATACCGCGGTAGTATGAGCGCGCCTTCTCTCTCGCCTACACCGAGTGAGGAAGCTGACGACCCTGGTTTCCCTGACTCTAGGCCTATAAATGATATAGATAGTGGCAGGCATAGGCCTATGACCCCTCCAAATGTCCAATCTGATTTAGATTTGCCTATTAGGCCTGAATTATTTGACCAGCTTGAATCTTCAATCGTGCCTGCCCTCTCACCTACACCGAGTGAGGAAGCTGACGACCCTAGCTTTCCTGACCCTAGGCCTAAAAGTAAACCTGTTAGGGGCAGGTCTAGAGGAAGAGGTAGGCCTATAGGAAAAAAAGCTATTTCACAACCATCTAAGCCTACTAAAAGGTCCAAAACTCAAACTAGTAACGATACAGCTCCACCAAAAAAGAAGAAAAAGGAGGGTTGGCAGTGGACCAGTACCATAGAAAGTAATATAATAAATAAAATCCCTTTTACTGGTTGTCCTGGTGTTAGAGCAAGTTTGGCTAGAAGTTTAGGCTCAGCTCCCTCTGAATTAGATGTTTTCAATGCGTTTCTTGATAATGACTTTTGGCAACATGTTGCAACAGAGACTAATAATTATGCCAAAGAAACAATTAAGAAAAAGAACGAAGCAGGCGGGGTAGGAAAAACTATATACTCAGAATGGTTTGACACAACTGCAGATGAGATGGCTTGTTTTTATACACTGTGTGTCCTTATGTCGCTTGTAAAAAAAAGAACCATACAATCATACTGGTCGCCTAATGCTGTAACTGAGACCCCTTTTTTTCGTAAAGTGATGCCATTCCGCCGTTTTTTGCTACTGTCCACATTTTTCCACCTTACAGACAATAATAGGAAACCTGTGAATGATAAACTGTGGAAGTTAAGGTACGTTATTGAGTACATGAACAGGAAGTTTTCCCATCTGTACATACCTGATGAAAACATAGCTGTCGATGAGAGTCTTATGAAGTTCCGAGGGAGGTTGGGCTATGTCCAATTTAATCCCAAGAAGAGAGCCAGATTTGGCATAAAGTTTTACAAGTGTTGTGAATCTGGAAGTGGTTATTGTTCTAAATTTAAGATCTATACTGGAGCTGAAGTCAAAGAAAATGTACCGGTTGAAGAAGGAAGTGGGGATTCTACACAGGAGGAAAAGCTTTTAACGAGTGAGGCGATAGTCGTTGAAATGACAAAAGATTTGGCAGGAAAAGGACATACTCTGACAATTGATAATTGGTACTCCTCACCTCTTCTCTTCTATAGACTTAAGCAAATAGGTTTCAATGTAATTGGAACAGCTAACTGGTGGAGATCAAACATGCCAGAGAGCTTCAAAGAGGGTAAACTTAAGTTGGGCGACTACGAGACAGCCTATAGCCACGATATGTTAGCAGTAAGGTGGCAGGACAAGAAGCAAGTTTGCATTTTGTCTACCTTTCATCAAAAAGCTGACAAAAGATCAACTGGCAAGAAAGACAGAGTTACCCAAGAAATTATAACAAAGCCAGAACCAGTGATCTACTATAATCGTTCAATGGGTGGAATTGACCGCGAGGATCAGCAATTAGCGTCGTTTCCTAGTATGAGGAGGTATGCTAAGGGATACAAGAAGATCTTCTTTTACATAATGGACATTGGCCTTTTTAACTCTTATGTAGTGTTCAAAAAATTAACCAGAAAAAAATTGGGGTTCAGTGAGTTCAAGGAGAGGTTTGTCAAGCAAATGTTTGAGTCGCGACAACTGCCACCGTACAATCGAAGAGGACGATCATCCAACTCAGAAACACCTCTGAGGCTCCAGGCAGCAACTTGGGGACATTTTCCTAGGCCTATTCCTCCAAATGAAGTCAAACAAACACCTTCAAGAAGATGTAAGGTGTGTAGTGCCCAGGGAAAGCGCAGTGACAGCCGATGGGAGTGTGAGCTCTGCCTTGTCGCACTTCACATGCCAGAGTGTTTCAAGGCATACCACACCAAAATGAACTTTGCTTGACATTTGGTGAGTTTTTATAAGTGTCATACAGTATTATAGACTAGTTCCAAAACATATATGAGCCCTATGTAGCTAAAAATTACCAATAAAAAAGTTTTTTTTAATTTTTTAATTTTTTTATTTTATTTTTATATGGTATAATAAAAAATTATAGTTATATTTTTTTTGGAAATATTTATATATTTTGAATCTACATTTAATTTTGAATAAGAAAATAATAATATCTTGCATATAAATAGTAAATGTTGCCTGAAAAAAAATTAAATCAGAAATGAATGAAACTAGCCACAACAAATTCGTTTGTTTTGGCCTAGGCGGGTAAAAAAAAAATCATAAGTGAATGGGTTAATTCTGGTTTCAGGGATTTAAAAGTTGACCTTATCGATGTTTCTCAAAGTGAGATATGATAAGCTTGTTTCAGAAGGTTTGGCTATTCTATATACTGTGTTTGGCAATTGAGATATGCATTGTAAAGTGTGCTTTATTCAAGAATGCAATTCGTCCATGTCTATTGTTCATATCACACTTATTTACAGATGGAAATTGGCCAAAACTTTAGTAGGAATCAGGAACTGAAAATGTTTCACAAACCAAATGAAAGACAAGCATCAGCCAGGATAGAACAAAGATGCTTAGGCCTGAATTGTTCCAAGTTTGTTAGAGTAAATAGTAAATATTGCAGCGATGATTGTGGAATGGCATTGGCCAAGGCAAGGCTTCTCGGGGTAAGAGTGTTTTTTATAAAATATTTTTATAAGAATATGAAAATTAAATTGGTTCAGTAAATTTTAGTCTTTTCTTTTTACAATTTTAAAGAAATCTTGCTCATTATCATAGCCTTTAGTGCTGGGTTTACAAAATACTTGTTTTTAACTCTCAAACACTTAGTTTCCTCTCCTTTATATTAAAATAAATATTTAATCTTTATTGGTACATACTTCATCACATTTTAGCGAATTTCCCATATAGGGAATAAGCTATTACCGTAGTACTCATGGTAAGACCTGGACGCGGGGCCGATTTTTTTTTTCGTTTTGAGGTCCCTAGAGGCCAAAAACACCATCCGTTCAAATTCATATATATATATATATTTATATATTTATATGTTTATATATTTATATTCTCGTATTTATATATATATATATATATATATATGTGTCCGTTAGCACGATAACTCGAGCAAAAATGATCAGATTTTGATGAAATTTGGTACAAACGTGTAAACCTACGTTAATTCGAACGAGTTCGCGATCCAGCTTGATCGGACCATGGGAACGGGGGTTTACGGGGGGTTTTATGGGGTAAAAATAGGTTTTCCCCATTTTTGACCCAAAAAACATAAAATTTAGCAATTTCTTTCCAAACCACTTTGTAGAGCTTAAAAAAACAAATAATTTAGTATATTGAAGCGTTATTATGCGCCTAATGGTTACGGAGAAAAATCAAAAAAATTGTAAATTTAAAATTCCCATGTTATTCTTATGGAGAATAAGTAAACTGTTGTAGTTTGCTTTTTTATGAACATATTTTGATCAAATTTGGAAAATGTTTTTATTTCTTACTAACTATTAACATTTTACAATAAAAAAACAGTTTTACCCTCCCTGATGCAGCAAACCTAAGTACTTGTTAAACTAATTCTATTTAAATAGGGAATTAATGTTATATTTTTAAGTAGACATTTCAGTGTAAATCTAATCAGTCAAATGGAAATTCGCTTAGTCTGCAGGTTTGCTGCGGCGGGGGTATTTTAATTCAAAATAAAAAATATGAAAAAATAAAATGTGATGGGTCATTTTTAACACGACTTAATTGTCTATTCCTTCTGACTGATTAGTGATAAGGTGTCACAGTTACAACTCACATCAAGCTAGATTCAAGATTCAAATTCACTTTATTTGATATACATTTTTTTTGTACATGAATGACATCAAGACTAAAACTAACTTAATGACTAAATAGGCCCCTGAATATATGGTTTGACCTAGAAATAATTAGAACACAGATGAAACCATTGTTGTTCGATAGTGAAAAGTATTGTGAATAACATATCAAAAGTCTCCAAAAATATCTTTGGTGGAACACCACCTTTTTTCCAAAATGGCGGCCAAATCCAGTAGTTTTTTGCTTTTTATTAAAATTCTGACTTACCAGTCAATATTGGTGAAAAGTTGCCAATACATTTAATGTTCCTCCTGAAATTACCTTTAAAATGATACCAAATACATGTACCTACAACAAAAAATAAACCCTGTAGAAATAATAAAATATTTCAAATAAAAATATTTGTTATAAATTAATGTAATAGTCCAAGCAAACTAAAAAAAAAAAAAAAAAAAAAAAAAAAAAAAAAACAGACACAGGGATCGTATAAAAATTTGCAAGTAAACATTTAATGGTTGTAATTTTATTGTTGTGTGCAGAGTTACATACCAAAAGTTGCAAAAAATCAGTCCACGGGAAACCCCTAAATTAAGGAAAAAATTGTGGTTTTTCCCAATATTGGACAAATTTTGCAACAAAAGATACCACATGTTTTTTTTGCACATTTTTCGAGATATTGACTTGGAACCACGACCGATATTTATTGGATGGTCCGTACTTAATTTCAATAGGGGACGATTTTTGGGCCGCCATCTTGGATCAGCCATATTGGATATAAATATTTTTTTATGTAATTATAGTGTTGTGACACATCATTATGAACTGGATTTCCACGCTGATTTCAATGCTGAAATCCGTTTTTAAATAAGTTTTTTCGTTGCTTAAGATATATTAAAACGAAAACTCTCTCCTATACATCAGTTATGGACGTATCGTAATTTACTTTGAAAATGTGCTTGGATTATTTTTCTCCAGGTATTATTAATGCTTGCAGTTCGTTCTAGCCTTAAAATATTCAGTGATAAAAGATCTTTCATTTTAGTTAGCTTTCATTTTGTTTTATTTATAGTTAAAACAGACTAGTTATAGACGAGGTACAAACTCCAACACAAAATTAAACTAAACTTTTTTTATCAGTTTTTGTTAAAAGATTTATATCTCGGGTTGTTAATATGTTAACAAGTTCGTTCTGGTATCAAAGTACTCAGTAAATGTTTGGCTTTAATTTTATTGATTATTAAATGACACATGACAAATTTAAAACGAATCATGTAGGCCTACCTTCAATGAACTATTGAATGAATTATTATTATTTTGAAATTTGTCTTTAGTTAAAGACATTTATCCCCAATTCTAAATAACTCCCAATAAGGAATCCATAGCTAAAATAAAAGTCAATACTTGAACGAATAGCTATGACGAGTTTTTCCCGTTTTAACTCTGCACAACACTACAAATAAAATAATAAAACGTTTTGTTGAAATTTGTTAACGGCCATATCCTATATTTATCTAAATATAATTTCCAAGTTACACAGTTACAGTTATTTATAAGTACAGTTATTTAAAGTAAGTTAGTCATATCTTCAACCAAACACCACTCCCAATCTGTTGGATCTGCTGGTGAACTATTTCCACGCCATACTTGAACCTGATAGCACTACCTTAGACTGTTGTTATTTTTCAATGTGTTTTTAAATTGTCAAAGTACGAAACGTCCATAAGAAATGTATGGGGGAGAGTTTTTGTTTTTATATATCTTAAAATTGTAAAACGCTATTTAAAAAAACTGATTTCAGCATTGAAATCAGCGTGGAAATCTAGTTCATAATGATGTGTCACAACACTATAATTACATTAAAAAATATTTATACCTAATATGGCAGATCCAATATGGCTGATCCAAGATGGTGGCCCAAAAAGCGTCCCCTATTGAAATTAAGTACGGACCATCCAATAAGTATCGGTCGTGGTTCCAAGTTAATATCTCGAAAAATGTGCAAAAAAAACATGTGGTATCTTTTGTTGCAAAATTTGTCCAATATTGGGAAAAGCCACAATTTTTTCCTTAATTTAGGGGTTTCCCGTAAACTGATTTTTTGCAACTTTTGGTATGTAATTCTGCATACAACAATAAAAATAAAACCATTAAATGTTTACTTGCAAATGTTTATACGATCCCTGTGTCTGTTTTTTTTTTTTTTTTTTTTTTTAGTTTGCTTGGACTATTACATTAATTTATAACAAATATTTTTATTTGAAATATTTTATTATTTCTACGGGGTTTATTTTTTGTTGTAGGTACATGTATTTGGTATAATTTTAAAGGTAATTTCAGGAGGAACATTAAATGTATTGACAACTTTTCACCAATATTTACTGGAAAGTCAGAATTTCAATAAAAAGCAAAAAACTACTGGATTTGGCCGCCATTTTGGAAAAATGGTGGTGTTCCACCAAAGATATTTTTGGAGACTTTTGATATGTTATTCACAATACTTTTCACTATCGAACAACAATGGTTTCATCTGTGTTCTAATTATTTCTAGGTTTTGCTATTTTTTTTTCTTATTTTAAGGCGCCTAAAAACTAAACATGAATTTATACTACTAAGCTATTTTGTTAATGAAGCCTAAGGCAACTAAAAACACAAAATTAAGTCTGTAAGAATAATCATCACATACTTTATAGAGAAAGTAATAAAAAAAAATATTCATTATTCTTTTCTCTCAGCCATTATTTTAGTAGACAATTTTAAAATTATATGGATTAACTGAAAGAATTATAAAAAAAATCCTATTCAGGCTAGTGAGATATTCCTGTACAATTATGACAATTTTCTTAAGTCGGATTTGTACTTCTGTGTATTTGTCCGTCTAAATATTGATTTTTATTGGTGTTTATGTCTTAAACTAATTCTTTGTGTTGTAATTTTTATGGCTGTTGTTTAGATTGTCAAAGACCAGGCTAAAGATCAGTTAACAAATCCAGGAGCAGCTTATCAAAAAGATACTGCAAAATTAGAAGAAATCAAAAATCAGAAGGAATATCATACAAGGGTGGTTCAAAAATTAAATATAAAAGAACACGTAAGATTTTTTTAACTTTTACCATCCCAGTTTAAAAAATTAGCAGATTTTTTTAGATTGAGCATTTGTTGAGCTCATGGTGTTTTCACTTTTCATGTAGTATTTTAACTGGAATTGCCATTTTTAAATATTTATTTATGTTGAAAGACTTTGCATAAACAAATTTCTTAAGTAACTTTCTACAATAATGCTCTAGAAGTCAAACTTTAAGATAGATTTACTAATTGCTTTGTGTATTTATTTTAATTTATCAGAGTGAATTTATCTATCATAGTGATTGTCTAGTCTTCAAAAACCAATTTTTTCTATCCAATTCATGACAAATAATACGGTACCTCTTAATGCCCTTTTATGGGCCTTATTTTGCTTAATCTGTTGTGTTGTGTGCCCTTTTCATTTTACCAAGGCTTATATTAAATTAGCACAAACCAATGTATATGTATGGTTTAGTAAATCAATAGAGCCTACACATTTTTTGTGAATTATAATAAATATATTTTAATTACCTAATTTTATAAATTTAGCGGACATTGTAAACTAGGAAAGTGGATTTGATAGAGTTATTTTTATGATAGTAGACAGATTCCCCCACTTTTGCAGCATTGCATGTAAGTTATGTCTTTATTCGATTAAAATAAATAAATAGGAAAATCATACCAGGTAAAACTTAAAAGTGTGGCTATTGATTTATTTTGGATGCAAGCCCAGGTATTTTAAGAGAGTATTATTTATGTTTCAGATCGTCAGGCGAATCATAGAATCGACAAAACGGTTGCAGATAATTGAGAATGAAGCAGAAATAGCAGATGACAGCAAAATTCACTGTGTTTGTTGCGGTTGGGAGATACCAAATCGATCTTATGTGAAACATGTAGAAAACTGCTTTAGAAAGGTAAATAAAATAAAAGCTTCAAGTGTTGACGATACTCATCTAATCCTCCTTCAGTTACTGTAACACAGTGGTGTAAATAGCACCCCCGCAACCCCCGAAGTCCGATTGTCACCATTCGCTGCAATCGTGGAAAAAAGATTATGGGTTCCTTTTACAGCGGGAGACGAAGATGATGTGTACAAGACCAAAGAAGATATTAATGATTTTGCCGCAATCGTGAGTTAATATTAACTTAGGTAATTTCTATGACCGCGGGAGACGAATATGATATCTACAAGACCAAAGAAGATATTAATGATTTTGCCGCAATCGTGGATTAATATTAACTTAGGTAATTTCCATGACCGCGGGAGACGAATATGATATTTATAAGACCAAAGAAGATATTCATGATTTTGTTGCAATTTATTGCAGAAAAAGATTATATAATTTCCATGACCTCGGACAAGTGAGGATACAGGATAGGCCAAAGTGGGGGGGGCTAGGCGTTTTGTTGTCCATAGTTACCATTATGCCCCCATAGCGGGAGATGATTACTATGTCCACACGACCATGGGAGATAATATAATGATGTATTGACGGCCACGAGAGATTTTCAGAATTTTACCGCATTTGCGCAAGACGATGATATTGTCCACACGACCCATATTTTTGCCTTGTAATTAACGAATTAGTCTAATTATCAGGATAATAAAAATGGATAACATGCAGGGCCGGATTTAGCATTTTGGCGCCCCTAGGCCCAACCAAATGATATTCCGCCCCCTAGTCTGGTCACAGTTAATTTCCTTCAAATCTCTATTTAAAACTATATCGTATCCCTAGGCCTAAGATAATTGCTTGAATACCACTCCTCGTCAGAATTTTATCATTGCAAGTTACTGTATTTGAAGAATTGACTTGTTTAGCCTTAACAATATGGCGTCTTAAACACTTTTTTTTAGCAATTTTGTGCTTTTAGTAAATGCTCACGTTTGTGGGACTGAAAAAAAACAACTCAACCCTCCGATCATCCTGCAAAAAATCATGGCCATTGATTCCAATTTTAGGCCCAAAAACATGAACTCCATACAGTACGTGTACCATAGATTAAACATAGGTACTCCTTTAGTAGATTTGTCATCATTATGGATTAGCTGAAAACAATTATTGTTATTTAAACATATTTTATAAAAAAAAACTATTTAATCATAAACCATAGGTCGTCTCCTGGTTATATTACAATAAATTAAAACACACATCATAGAACTAACCCTAAAATTATAGAAACAAAAGTAAGTCAAAACCAACGTCCAGTGTCACCAACATGAACTAGACGTGAACAAATTTGAATTTACAATGTGATAAGAAGTTGACTTCAGTTATGTGGTTACATTTAATCTATGGTGGTACTGCATCTAGGTTATATTTCCAAAGCAAAACAGAGCAACATTCCGGCCAACCATACCGATCCTTAGGTTTGAGGAGAAAATTAAAGCATTAATGGTGCTTTGGAGGGTATTGCATTTTTCTAAAACCTATTGCAAACTGAGATTAATATTTTTTCGTTCATTTTAAAGATAAATTCATCATTTTTAAATATTCAACACAACGTATTATATTATATTTTAACTTGATCCTGCAGATTGTTGTAAATTAATCAAAAGATTAGTTAATAACTTATGTTTTGTGAGTGAGGGTGGTAACAATGTCTAGCACGCTACGCATGCGCCCCTAATCACTCTGATCAGTAGTAGAGTAGTACCATAGACTAACCAGCACAAGGGAGTATGTTTTATCTATGGTAGTACCTAGATTTGTCATCCTTATGGAACAGCTGAAGCCAAATTCATTATTAGTTCTGTACGTCCAACTGTAGAGGTTATGTTTTGTTTACAATTTGTTTCTTGTTATTTCAGTTATTTAAAACCTCATTTAACCAAATAAAACTATTTAATCATAAACTATAACTGGTTTCCTAGTTATATAACCAAATAGTAAAGCACAAATCATGAAAATAACACTAAAATAATAGAAACAACATTTTGTCTACCCCAGCGATCAGTGTGGACGTACATGAACTATACACAAAAAACAAGCAAAAAATTTACAATGGGATGAGGAGTCTATATCTATGGCAGTAGTTATACTGTATATCGATGAGTGGCAGTGCAGTGGCAATACGATGCGTACCGATCGGGCGCTCGTCAACATCCTACAGCCTACTCCCGTGTAACCAATGTTTGTTACCAATGTTGTAACGAAATTGATGCGTAATTCTGAAAAATTAGTTTACATTTTCTAACAATTATTTCTACCTTTTAACTTCAGAATCAGAATGCTTTACTAGCCAGGGTTTTTTTTATCAAATATGACTACCTATTTATTTTTATTTTTAGATATAACAAAAAATCCTCTCGGCCTTGCGCCCTCTGGGAGCTCGCGCCCATAGGCCCGGGCCTACCGGGCCTATTGGGAAATCCGGCCCTGATAACATGTGTGATAAATTAAATTTAAAAGCTCCTTGATATAAACATTCTGATACAGACGGAAAATAAGGTATTTTTATTTTATTTCAAAACTATTTACAAACACTCATATTGATATAATGATGTAGTGATATAACTTTTTCATCAAACCATGACTGAAATACTTAACACACTCTTTTATGGAACATAACCCATAATTTATTTGCTATTCTATTTATGATTAATATGTTTGATCATTGTATCGGTGGTCCAAAATTAACTCTTGGGGGGAGGGGGAGGGCGTTTGATTATGTTGTATCGGTGTTCTAAAATAACTCATGAGAGGGGGCCCAAAAAATAAGTTTGCAGGGGGGCCCATAAAAATCTGTTACGTCACTGATCCTTGTTCATGTATATTTCAGGCTGAGAATCAAAACATTGTGGAGAGCTTTAACAAATCCAATACTCCGTTTTGCAACATATTTTGTGACCACTACAATGCATCCAGAAATACGTACTGCTCGAGGCTTCGTTATCTTTGCCCAAGCCATTTCAAAATTAGAAAATCTAGAGACGATGAGGTAATTTAAAGTCATTATTTAAATAATGACAAAACTTAGGATACCTATTATTGGAAAGATTTCAAATGTGTTAGTCACAATGTGCTTTAACTCCAATACAATAGTACAGTAGAACTCCAATCATTCGATTCAATTAGGGATCTTACCGCATTCGGAAATGATGATGATGAAGTCTACAAGTTCGTGGAAGATGTTCAATATTATTTTGCCGCGATTGCGGCTTGTGCTCTCTTTAACTTATAACAATTATTATTACCGTAGTATTTTTAACCTTTCTTTAAGCGATTTTGAGAATCATGATTTGGAGTTGGGATAGTTGGAGTTCTACTGTATTATACAATTCAGGTGGCTAGCAGAGTAGTTACAGTGCTTTTACCTGATGTGTTTATTTATTAGGGTATGGGTTCAATCCTGAGGAGCGTATTTTAAGAGTGAGACTACTTGTTGTTACTGACGATAATTGATAAGATCTGTTTCTATGGCCAAGATCTTTTATCAAAACTTAAAAATGATTGAGGTCAGATTCATGTTCCAAACCATATATAATTGACTGACTTTTCTCAGAATTGAACCGCCAAAACCTACATACATCCAGTTATCGCAATCATCATGTTTAATTGGTTTGACCTTGCTTTTAGGTATGCGGATGTCCAATTGTGAACCAACTCACTGTAGATTTATTCTTTAACGCTGACAAATTTTGCCAAAGGCAGAAAAATTTGTGCACTTTGCATTTCAATTGGGAAATTCTTGCAATTAGCGAAGTTGACACTGAACGTCTTAGAGAGGTAAGAACGCTGTACCATCTCTAATCTATAAAACACATAGTTTTGTCAAACATGTAGCTATACTGATCTCCTTTTCCTTGATTCCAATAGTACTTTATAAATTGCTAGTGTGAAGGTCTACTTTGTTAGATATGTATTTTTTTATTTAATATATTATGTGGTTGAATTGGTTCTAAAATAAGGTATTTTTTATTATAAAACTATATGATCAGTCTGTTTTCTTTTTTCGTTTCAGTTAATCAAACTTAACAGTTTAATCAAAGAAGAAGGAGAAATTTTGTCCAGGATGGCAAATAGAAGAGGAGTTTTGGGATTGCTACTCAACTCTTCTCAAGAACACAAATAATTGTTTTGAAATAAATACTTCACTAATATTTTAGTATTTCTTTAATGAGGCCTTTTGCCAGCTATGCAGACAAAGGTTATGTTTATGATAATATATTTTAATATCAACATATATTGGTATTTAAACATAAAGAAATATTCTGTCAAGTAGCCTACATTTTATATAGGTAAAATAATAAAAATAAAATTATATATGTATAAAGAGAAAACCTAAGGTAGGTTTAGTTTGGCTAGCATACACCATACACATACCAACACAAGTAATGGGATTTTTATCCCATTGTAAATTTTTAAGCTCATTTTTTGTGTCTAGTTCATGTTGGTGACACTGATCACTAGTGGGAAGAATTTTTTAAGAATTATTTTAGGGTTAATTTTATGGTGTGTGCTTTACTGTTTGGTTATGTAACTAAGGGTCGAGTTATTGTTTATGATTATATATTTTTATTTGTCTGGTACTGAAATAACTAGTAGTAAATTGTAATCAAAACGACCTCTACAGTTCACAGGTCGGAACTAACAATAAAATTGTCTTCAGCTGCTGATCCCTTTTAAAACCCATTGGCGCCGACTTACGACTTACGAGCGTTACTCATACTCGTACAGCTGCTGCAGGCTGTACGCCCGGCGGCTGACTTACAAGTGCCGCTCGTGTCACTGCTACGCAGCGCTACGCAGCGCTACTAGTTATTTAATTATTATTCTTCCCCCTTGTTGTTTATTCTTACTTTTATTTATTAAGTTGTTGTTTATTAAGGGGACTGTGACCGTAAAAATGATCAACAATTGAAATTTTTATTTTTTGGTCTTTTATTATTAATTAAAATCTTCTGATTACAACGGTATAATTATTTTTTTCCTAGCTTGACTGGAAGTTAGTAAAAAAAATAAAAGAAAATGTTTTTACCCGGTCTCATAGCAACAAAACATTGTTTAGTTATCTTGCACATGGGCCTACGTTTTCTGCGATTCCCGTAAGTTAGCTTTTTATAACTTTGATGTCACTTTTCTCAGCTATCTGTAGGACTAGAGTATCCAAATTTTTACCACATATTTTATACTTAATATACTAGTTCCTCCCAGAAGGATTTTGATTTATTACACCCACGAGTCGTAAAAAAAATCTTTTTGTACTAAATTTCTAGGAAAAAATTGTAATTTTTTGAAAATTAAAAAAAAACACTTGGTGTAAATATATTTTTTAAATCTTCTAGGAGGAACTAGATAAACATATGGCCTTTAAAATAAAAAAAATTAAGGCTCTACCTGTCATAGTTCTCTAGATATGTAGCATATAGATAACATTATATAAGATAGGCAGTCACAGTCCCATTAAGTTTATAAATATCTTGCATCTTGTTTTGCATATTTACTACTTTTTTTGCAAATAACAAACAAGGTTGTGTTGCCATGGAAAGCAGATATCACCCAAAATCAGCTGCGGTAAGGTAAAACAAACTACTATAAAATCCAATGTATGTTTGTTTGTTTGTTTGTTTGTCCTTTATGGACTCCGAAACCACTCGGCAGATTGTAATGAAACTTTCAGGCATTATTAAGCATTATTCAAGGGTGGTTTGTGTGAAGTTTGGTGCAGATCCATCAAAAGGGCTTCGCCCCAGTGGCTCTGGAGTTTCCCATGTTAACCTTTTGATTACTCATATTTAAATGGAATTATAGAATCTTAACAGCTGGTTCAACTAATCAATTTGATTCTGTGATGTTCAACAGCATTAAAAAGGTAATAGGTTTACCAACAGGGTGCTGCACTACTATTATTACCTAGTATTATTGACAACAGCTAATTTGCAACCAAAAGGTGAGTGAGCGTAGCGAACGAACTTCAACCTGTGGCCGAGTTAGCGTAGCGAACGATCTACTCTGAAGGCAAGTGAGCGCAGCGAACGAGCTCCAACCTAAAGGTGAGTAAGTGTAGCTAACGAACTTCAACCAGGACGTGATTGAGCCGTGCGAAAGAGCTCATCTTGAAAATGAACGAGCATTGACATAAAACCACATATTAGGACAGGACGACGTCTGTCGGGCCAGCTAGTATACTTATAAAGGAAACTTGTGATTTTTCTACGTAGGGAATCAATTGAACTTTATAACAGTAGTAGTGTCATTTGGTGTCTGGTGTAATCTTTGAATTTGTAAATCAAGTTTACTTTTAAAAAATAGTCTTAAAATTTGTATTTTAATCTTTATAATTTTTTTTTACATTTTACATTTTGACTATCTCATACCACTGTGAGCGAAAAGACATAAGAATAATTAATTTATTACCAAAGGTTTTCTTTCTATAACAATTAGAGTAAAAGTCTACAAATTTGGTAAAATCAATCAGGCAGGGGCATTAATTCCTTCCACAATGGGTTAAAGAAATCTACTAAGGAGTATTTTTTATCTCAAAATGCCATTTTACTAGTTATAAAAACAAAAACAATGAAAACCAAAAAATATATATGTGGGGTTGTATATAGTAGCATAAGGTGATAGAATATTTCAGTTTTGGTGGGGAACATGCCCCTTGAGGTGGTTATAGTATACACTATACAAGTCCCTGAACGTTAAACCGCCCAGACCCCAATTTTTAAGGACCTCGGCTGTCCGCTATGACGTCATCAAGATGGCGGCTGTAAAATGATGCTGAGTCGCCATGGTTATAACACCCAAATGCCTGAACCGATTTTAATGAAATTTGGCATTCAGAATACATTATCTCGGCCCAGCTTGCCAATGGTCGAGTTAAAAGTCCTTTCCGAATGGCACCCAATAGTAACTATAAAATAAGAAACATGCTTGCTATTTAGGAAGGGAGCCCGGTTAAAATACGCGTACCAATCTCATTCTCATAGTTTTAATGATGTAATTGGAATCTTTGAAGAGATCTGCACGCTGCGTCATAACATTTGAATATGAAACATTCTCATATAATAGGCCTACAAAAATAAATTCCAAGTTGAATAATTTTGATTCCTATATTACGCTAACAAACTCTTAAGATAATGTTGAAAATGCATGCATTGGCCATACAATTACAATATTTATAATCAATGGCACAAGATCAGCCAGAGTAAGCTGTTCCTTCACTTTTTACACAATAATACGTTAAATGTTGAATAATTTGACACAATATATATTATTGTGCTATTAGCTTACTTTTTTCATAGTGATAAGTACTTACAACAATAATTTTATAAACTTTGTCATAGTCTTATAATCAACGCTTCCAATGAGATTAGTACTGTATTAAATTAAGCAGTCAGAATCAAATAATGTTCTTGAACTTCATGGTGTTAAGCTTAAGCTTGCTTAGTTGAGGGAAAACGTGATTGTTGTATTGTATCAACATCAACGTCAAATGTTATAAACATAACCTCCATCTTACCTTAACTTAAGATTTTCCTAGTAAAAATCTTATGCGGTTTGATTAAATTGTTTGCTCTTGAACACAGCTCTAAGATTAGATCGAGCATCAATTAAAAAGTTTCAATAGTGTTTCGGGGTGTCTGCATAGCCATTAGCCATCACGACTTGTCCCTGAGCTGGAACTGTTGTAACTGTATACTCTTGTAGGTTTAATTATGTAATTTTTTATTTGATATTTTCTAAGGGAATAGGATCAACAAATAATAACGCAAACAATTGTTTTGTACAATATACATACTTTTTGCTATCATCACCACTTAAAATAAAAGGTTTCAATAATTTGTTTCCTATTTACAACTAACCTAAGTTAAGTTAACTTAACCAATTCCCTAACTTACATCTTGAGTTATTGTGTGTAGCCTATGTGTCTGTCTCTTTCTTATGATTTGATGATTAATTTAAGCTAAGTTATGTTGAATTCTTACACCTTTTGAATAGCCCAGGCAATGTCACGGGTAGACTTTCATAAGCAGGACTCCAATAAGCCGAATGAAATAATCTAAAAACACTTAATTTTAACAGAATTTTCGATATACCGATGTTATTTGATACCGATTATTTCATTTGATATAAGTTAACTTATCAAATGAAATACCGGTAACCAATATAAGTTATCTTGGAGTCCTGCTTATGAAAGTCTACCCTACGTTTTGAAAGGGGACGGTCCAGGCTGCACTTTACTTCACGTCCTACACTCATTCCAATGAAAATATCGATCGATATATCAATGTAATGACTGGGACGGGTGGTGTCGTCCTGGAATCCAGCTACTAGGAGGTGACGAATTGTGGATATTTATAGGCATGCACTGTGGATGCGATACTCCCTGGTGTGGATTAACGTCCGCACGAGAGAGTACTACGACTATCCACAGTACTATCCTGATAATTAGACCAATTCTTATATACCAAAGGCTAAAATGTGGTTCGGATTCCACTATAATCTGTAGGTCCCTTAGTTGCCATTAGCTGTATGGGCTATTAATTAACAGCTGTGTTTAAGGAATATGTCGGCCTTAATCACTAACAAGACTACAAGTTTGTGCTACTCATCTCCATTCATACTTGGCTTAAAATACCTACTTTGTATGGTCGCCATTTCACTGTAAAGTATTAAAAGTATTAAGTATAACAACTTGGCTACCCAGAAAATCTAAGTTATTAATCAGACTTGGTTGTTTTAGCTTGTTTAAGCCTAACTTTAGCTATTCAGGTGATGTCATTCCCCTAGGTACCTATTTTTAAATCAGTAAAGTGTAGAACTGCTTTATCAGTTTGAATGCAGTTTGCATGACTTGTACTCTCAAAGTTTGGTTTTAAATACCGGTACTCTTGGTCACCAATGGCTGGTTGTAATAGGCCCTAGTGTATTTACAGGGTAGTTAGACCCATCTATAAGCTGTAATCCACACCTTTAATATTTATTTAATGTAAAAAGATCGATCCCTTAGACGAAAAGAACCCTTTACCAAAGGTCAACCCAGTATGCTAATACTTAATACCGATTAATGCTACTAGTTTTTCTAACCTGCCCCTAGTATGCTAGGTTTGCGAAATTCTTTTTAAAGCTTTCAGTATGAGTATGCTTTTGGATGTATGAAATATGTCTTGATTTGTGTAGGCCCTACTTATATGAATAGTAAACTTTGCAGCAGATGAAACATAAGTTACAGACAAGGAAGCCCAAACATCGATGTACGGATAACAACGTTACGAAAACATCGATGTTTTGGGAATAAGACATCGATGTTTTTTCAGGTGTTCGTATGTTCTCTGTACCTTCCAGTAATGGAATACATCGATATCTCAACACTTGGCCAAAAACATCAGTAACCTACCATCGATGAAAAAAACATCGTACATTGATGCTCATCCCCAAGCCCAACCCACCTTCTTCATATGCCTAAATAAAACTGTTTGTTGTAAAATGATCAACCATAAATTAGGCCTAAGCACTTCTAGATCCCTTTGTCGTGTTGGTAATCTTTGCACTCTAAACCTCTTTGCATTTACTGATTCAATAAATTTTCTCCCCATTGTCTTCTAATCTCTTGTCTCGTTCTTGTCCAATTCAATTCAATTTATTTATTTCCACGGTAACACATATGTTTCTAGGCCTACTTATATGTTCTCTAAACACATGTTTGCTTTACACACACAGACTTGTCCAAATTGCCATATAGGTAGTTTAAGTTAGGATGCTATCCGAACCGCTCAACACCTAAAATTAGACCTTGAATTCATAATCTTTTATGTAGTTTTTTCGGACATTTGGGACTCTATCCGACAACAATTTATTGTATTTTAGGATTCAGGGTTAAAAAAAAAACTGTAAAATAGACAAAATATTTATATTTTTAATCTGTGAAACAATAATCAACATTTTTCCTGGAAGAAGAATAACTACAGCTTAACAAAATATATTTTGGTTAATCTTTCCTCTCAACAGCAATGTCTCGCTATTCCTCTCACATTCAGTCTTAGTAAATCGTACCTTGAACTCATTGATGCTATTCATTTATTTACGCCACACTACACTGTTTTAGCAAAATTCCCACACAAGGATTTAGTCCAGAAACAGCTATTTGCCGCCACCTTAATCAAATGAGGTTTCATTACATAATTCTGTACTGTAATAAGTTTTTACCAGACACCAATTAGCTATTATATTTGGCAATGAGTGGTTATTTGTAAGCAAAAACATTTTTAACCTCTCTCAGTCAGAGGTTATGAATAGTGATTGTTTGTCTTTTAGTCGGTAGTAATTTGTACCGGTTTTTATTGTTAAATTAGCTTAGAGTAGTATGGTGTAAAATATTGTGCGTCACTCATCCAAAATGTGTTTACCGGACTCGTATGTTAATCCCCCACTCGACTTTGTCTCGCACAGGAACCCCACTTGTCCGGTAAATACCTATTTTCAGGACTAGTAACGTAATATACTATTGCTTTAAAAGATTATATGTTTTTATGTTTTTGTTAAAGGAATGGTGTCCCCACTTCAGACATTACGAGTGTGTTGGCTGACAACAAGTTCCGTAGCCTTCACTTTCTTACAAGGATCTAAACGTGGGGCTCCTTTATTGAACCACACATCCTGTGTAGCAATGTCAAGCTCAACAAACGCTTCAGGAGAAACTAAACCGAAAATATTTGTCACTCGCACTGACTATCCCAAGAATGGAATTGATCTTTTGCTAAAAAAGTAAGTTTTAGAATTCCGACTGTTTGGATTTATAGCCTAGCTATCGTTATTTGTTAGTGGCAAAAGAACTAGACTTTTTTCGTTGGTTTTTTTAGGTTTTTTAAGGTTTTTTAGTACGTAGATTAAACCTGGGGAGTCCCTCATACTTCATGTGTGAAAAAGAACTCTTAAACTCTTGTCAAAATAAAATGTTTTTCAGTTCAGGTTAACAGTTTGTTAAGCTCCACCTAGGTGTATAAAAGAAGCTGTGTGCATAGAGAGGTGTAAATTCGTCCAGTTTGCGCAGCTACCTCACAAGCGAGCTGAATGTGTTTTATTTTACCAAATCATTTGTTTTCTTGTAATTTCTCAAAGACTTTCAAATGACATTCGTCACGAATTAGCATTGAATATATCGAATATAGCGCATTCAATATTGAATATGGTAGTGTTATACAGAATGGCAGTAGTGTAGAACATTTGATAGTGACTACTTTTTAATCGAAAAATAGTAAAGCAGTAAATACTGTACCTATGGCTGTTTAAAGGCTGTGCCACACTCACCTTACCTCGCTGAATTTTTTTCACGGGCGTTACACGTGTGTTTGGGCGATAAATTGGTATATGTGGTAGGCCACAATAAAAATGTCAGTAAACGCATTTACCAGTTTTGCTAGTTTGACCAGCGAGACTGACAAACGGAATTGGATGTGTATTCTCTACTAACATTCCACGGGCGTTGCGTGTAAATCAAGGTAAACTCAAGGTAATTTTCAATGTTAGAAAAAACATTCATTCACTAAGGTAGGTAATCAATAACCTTTAAAAAAAAGTTAAATGCATTTTAATATTGTCTTTTATTGAAGATGTCAATAACTATTATATATGATTGCTCACCATTTTCTGTCACTGACACCATTGGAATGTTAAGATCTAAGTTTAGGTCCCTAGGCATTTAAAAATGTTGTTGTGTATGTGGTAGGCAAAACTAACTTAAATACCGTACATGTTCTTTAAAAAACGTAAATTAATTTTTATTAAAATTGTAAAGTGACATTTATTTGAATGAGCTTCAAGTTCTTCACCTACAATAAATAAGCATAGTTGACATAATATTTAAATTATGTTCTAGGTACGATGTAGAAATTTACCCCAAAGAGAAGACAATTATAAGTAAAGAAGAGCTTATCCTAGGAATCAAGGGGAAATCTGGGATATTTTGTAGTTTAAATGATAAGATTGATAAAGAAGTATTAAGTGCAGCAGGTAACATTTCCTATAACCTTTACATATAAATATTTAGTTTTAGTTTGCGTACTAGGATAATTCTGATTACTTCTGATATTTTTTGTAGTAGCTCAAACCCCCAATGGTCTAAATTCATCATTGAGCCATCAGAAAGAATGCTAGGCCTACCTATAAAAGACAGAATTGTGCGCTTTGTAAAAGTAAACACCCCCTCCACAGAAAACCTGCAGACTAAGTAAATTGTCATTGAATTTTCACTTAAATATTTCCTTAAACATGTCTGATGTTATTTTTGGCTCTACAATGGTGTGGAAAGAAATTGCCAAATGCTTTGCAGGTCAAAATGGGAAAACCCTATTTTTCCTCCATAAAAACCCCATAAAACCCCGTTCCATTTAGGACAGCTGGGTCCAGGTTCAAACCATCCAAATACTTAAGATCACACTGGGCCCCTTTAGAGTAGGTACTGTACTAGGTGAGCATCTTGACTTATCAGCTATTTTTGCCTTTGACAGGTCCACAACTGCGAGTGGTAAGCACGATGTCTGTTGGTGTGGAGCATGTCGATCTCAAAGAGTGTCAAAAGCTGTCTATAAAAGTCGGCTACACCCCTAACGTTCTAACAGAGGCGACAGCAGAACTTACCATGGCTTTACTGTTAGCTACTTCTCGTCGGCTGTTTGAGGCCAACACACAACTCCGCACGTAAGTAGCCTACACTTCCTGCCAAGAGCATAGCAAGTTAGTTATTGTTTAATGTCGAGGCTACACTCCCAAAATATATTTTAAACTTATTTTTCTTCTTTGGTATTAATATTTACTATCATTCTTTTTTATTATGTACTTTTACCTACAGCATTTAAAATTATATTTTCTCCTCTGTACACTGCATTTTCAAGTTGGCCTATAAAATATGGGGTTGTATGTTGTTTTCTAGCAATCTAGGACTATAGTTTCTTTACTTTCCTTTCTTGATGAATTTGCGTCTTAGGGTTTGTAAGAATAAAAAAATTAAGGTTACCTATGTTAGCTGTTTTAAGCAACTGATACTGATGGATTAGCTAATAAAGTTAAGATTTGCTTCATTATTGCAGCATGATCCACGTGGTCATGACCACGCATCTACCCGTGCCGCGGCGTAATGTACTGTACTGGCCAGTATCTTTGAACATAATGTCAATCCGTGTTTTCATGTTTCATGTTATACGTGTGTGTTTTTGTGATTACCGATGACCTCAATTTGAGTGATGTGACATTTTTTAACCACCTGATGATGGGATTTTAATGTCGAAACCGGTCGCCTAAGACCACAATATGATCACTAACGGACAGGTAATATAAACCATTTTATGAAAAAGTTAATCGGTCCTGGGCCCAAATCTTACCATGAGACCTACGGTATAGCGACTTTCCTATAGGGAAATTCGCTAAAATAAGCAAAGAAATTTCAAAAATCACTGCTGAACTTTGTGAAATGGTGCCCTTGAGTAAGAAAGGCTGAAGAGCCCAGGTTTAAATCAACTCAATCAAGGTAAAGAGGTAAAGAAAAAAATGATTTTTAGCCATGGTCGTTCAATACTCATGAGTAAAATTTCAAAGTTTTATGCTGATGATTGTTACTACAGTGGAGGCTGGAGCTCATGGGCCCCAGTATGGATGTGTGGTCCAGCACTGAAGGGTTCCACAATTGGACTTGTAGGCTTTGGACGGATTGGTAGAGAAGTAGCATACAAACTGAAGGCATTCCATGTTGGCAAAATACTTTACACTGATTCTGGTAAATCACCGTCTGCTGATAAAAAAGAAGGTAAGTGGTTTTTAGGGTGGTACTTCTAGTTTGTCAGTAATTACCAAGTCCAATTTTTGCAGTGTGGGTTACTGCAGACAGGTTCAATATTTACTGTTTTTTTTTTACTCAAAACAAAAGGTTATGTCCATCACTCTTATACAAAAACACAACAAATTGGTAAACGTATCTTTGATATACAGCTATTCCCAAATCTGTAAGTGAACTTGTTATGTATTTATTCTATGCCTCCACAGTTCTTCTTTCTCATCTCTTCATCTTTCCTCTTTCACTTCTTCAACCCTCCCTTCTAGCATCCTTCTCACATGTCAAAATTATCTTATTTTCTACAAATAAAACTTATAAGGCAGCATTTTTTAAAAATCTCTTAATGAAATGTCTAATTCAATTTGATCTTGCTTTACTCTCAAAATCTGTTAAAATTCTCATTTGTACAGTTTTTAATCTCTACCTATTCAAGTTTTCTTCACAGTTAAAAATTTCAACAAAATGCTCTTATGTGTAATTGTGTATGATTGCAATATAATTTGATAAGTCAATGTTTGGCACCCCAAACGTTTCAGTTGATCGATAAATAACGGATTTAAGTTGACAACTAGTATCAATTAATGATGCTACCTAACTAAAGGTCTACGTTTAATGGTATATCAGGGTTTCAGCTGTTTCCTTTCAAAAAACAGAAAACACAAATAAATAAATAAAAAGGTACATGAAATTTTTCAGCTGCTACTGAGCTGGGAGCTGAGAGGTTGGATCTAGAACCGTTGTTGGCTGCCGCTGACTTTGTGATTGTCACGTGTGCTCTGACTCCCCAGACACAAGGAATGTTCAACTCACAGCGATTTGGCCTAATGAAACCCACAGCTATCTTCATCAACACTGGAAGAGGAGGTGATGACTTTTTTATGAGTTTTGATGGTAGTTTACCTCAAAAGGCTATTTTAATACTTAAATACTTTTCTTTGAAATGGCGACCATACAAAGTAGGTATTTTAAACCACGTATGAATGGAGATGAGTGTATGATGAGTTGCGCGATCTTGTAGTCTTGTTAGTGACTAAGGCCGACATATTCCTTAGACACAGCCGTTAATTAATAGCCCATACAGCTAATGGCGACTAAGGGACCTACAGTTTATAGTGGAATCCGAACCACTTTTTTTCCTTGGTATATACGAATTGGTCTAATTATCAGGATAGTACTGCGGATAGTCGTAGTACTCACCCGTGCGGACTTCAATTCACACCAGGGAGTATCGCATCCACAGTGGTGGATTTAAATATTTTTAAATCTCAGTTCAGAAAAAGGAAACATTGCTTACTGTCTGCTTAAATAACTTACTGAATACTATAAAAGAAATTGTGTATACATAGAGGTCCAGTGACGTCTGGTTAGTTTGGACCAAACACGCTCTTAAATAAATCAGCGATTGTTGCACTGACATTAAAATTTACTTTTAAATTTAATGAGTTTAGGCTCATTTCTTCCCTAAACTGCATTCAATACATTTGTGTAAATTTTAAAAATACATATTTCTTTAATTATTAGGAAATGTAAAAATGTATGTAAAAACATATCAGAATTTTTTTTTATGCTTCAAAATGATATTGGTTAGCTCTATGAAAAAATTATAATTGTCTGTCTTAATTTTAGGTCAAAAGAGAAAGAGCATATTATATTTTAACTTTCTTTGACATAATAATTTTCAACGCAGCATGGTTTTGTTTGCAGGAGTGGTAGACCATGAGGCTTTGTACGATGCTCTCAAAAACAGCAAGATTTGGGCTGCGGGGTTGGACGTAATGACACCAGAGCCATTACCTACGGACCACAAACTCATAGAGCTTCCGAACTGTGGTATGTCGTCCAAACAATATGAAGCATAAATAATTGCCTATTGAGTTCCTCTTTCTTGGACAATAAGAGTAATCTTATTTAACTTTACTAATTTGGTTAACTGTTTCAGTTCTACTTCCCCATATCGGCAGTGCTACTTACCAGTCTCGCATGGCAATGAGTGAACTCACAGCAAACAACATTATCTGCGCCCTTGAGGGACGACCAATGCCAGCGGAATACCTTTGATTACGACTAAACATCGCTTCCTTAAACATAAACATTCAATGACGTAACCAACCTAACCTCGACTGCTTGAAATCAAATCAAAGTGCCACCAATGCAAATATTTACTATGCTAGATTATTAGCACTAAGTCATAGATAAGCTTGAAATGTATTTATTAAATATTTAATACTTTATGGAATAGAGTTTATACTTTGTTAAAAGTTTTATACTCGTTAGAGAATTGTTTTACCAAATATATAACTGTTCTGGAATTGTGTGTGGATTTTTTTGTCTAGTACCAAACAAATTATTACCAAAAATTAATTTGTTTGCAAATTTATTTTAATATTGTTAAATTTTTTTTATCTAGGCCAATTCTTATTTTTACAAGAATTTATTAAACATTTTAGTAAAATAAGTGATTCAAGTACTAAATGTACTAAAGAATTAAATGACCAAGTACAAGTACTTAGATAAAACCCTTACATAATCTGATCAAGAATTTCTGACACAGAATGAAGCTTTTATAACAGTAATCACTTAAAATATCAGATATGGAAGAAGAGGAAATACAACAAATTCTAATTTGTCTACACCACTTTAAACAAAAAAATATTCAACATTTCAAATTTAAAATAGAAAAGTATAAGCTTCAAGACGGTTTCTAATAATGAATATAGACTATGTCAGGGATTCGTTGGCAGACTGTCTTTTAAATGATTTATTGTTTCAAAAATTTAAAGTATGTTTTTTACATTTTGGAAGGTTAATAATAGATTGATTCTTCAAACAATAATACTAACTTTATTGAGACCTGTTGTATAAAATATTTACAAATTGGTATTTACAATTCCTACATCAAAAAATGAATGAAAAACATGTTTAGAGTTGGTAAATAAAACAATACACTACTCCTCTCTTAATACAACATAACTGGATAAAAACTTGTTTTACTTCTTCAAAACATATAAAGTAATTTTTTTTTTACGTTACACTTATACACCACCCAACTAGTTTGATCAAAAGCTTGTTTGGTTCACAGGCTATACAAATAAGACTGGGTTTGTTACCAATAATTTCAACTGGTCTAACACTTATCTGTAGTATCTATGATCTGATGTTATTAACGATAAATAGATATATGCTTATTTAAATTTGTGAACCGTAAAGTTATGTTATTAATTGGCACGACAAACACAAACATTTTACCTATAAATTACAAGAAATATTTTCTCCCATATGATACATCCAAGAAAATGTTTATCAAATTACAAATAAAACTTATAAAACTCAAACGAATCCCAGTGACAAAGACCTTTGACATAACGTAAGTCGATTCACAGAATGAAAAGCAAAAACACTATCAACTTTCTTTTAACAGATTGACGGCTGCCATTGTGTACCATATTTTATCCTCAAGGATTTTCCAGTCTCTCATTTGTACCTCCTGAACTTTATCTAAATAATGTAGAAGAGCAGGTGTTGTTGCCACAGTGTTTCCGTGAACTTTCAAAAACAAGGCCATGTACGCCTGGCCAAGCTCAAAGTCTCTGTTACTCTCCAACAAAAAGTTCAGCATTTCCATAAACTTAAGCAGCAACCTCTCTCCGTCTTCCCCTTCCATTCCTAGAGCATTTATCTCGAAATCAATAGCTGAAGGTCCTAAAGACTTTAATTTGTCCACAACAACACCGAAATCCTTTGCGTCCCTCAACAGTTTTGCGAATGGAGTCAAATTTTGCTTAATGTTTTTCAAGGATATAGTTTTTTCGTTGTTTGAGTTTTTTATTGCAGAACTAAGATCAAATTCCATATTCAAAGTCGGTAGGGTTGGAAGGAAAAACGGAGCGTTCTTCGGTGTTTTTGGAGGCTCCAAAGGTTTGTTACGTTTCTTTATTATGTCAATGTCTAGGATATTTTGCCACCTTGAAACCGCTAATGTTGAGAGCGTGATGAGATTTTCTATTTGTTCAAATTCTTCACTTTCATCCTCCTCTGTTTCGCTCTCTTCCACATCCACAGTCAGGCAGGTTGCACCAGTCGATGGCAGACTGACCAAGGGAATGGCGCTGTCAAGAGATAGCGGCTTGAGAGAGACGAGACTCCAAAGAGTTTTATTGGACCACAAGAAGATCCCTTTGTAGTCAACGTGAGATGTAGCAAGCAGCTCTCCTGTAGGTGACATTGTAATTGAAGTACAAGCAGCGTCAACCTGCAACAACAAAATTGAGGAATTTAAATGACTGAAATAATTTTAAATTTCAGTTTATCAGTAGGCCTATTTAAGTGAATTACAGTGTAACATGATGATTGACATAACTAAGTTAAATATAAAAACACAATGTTTTACTGATATTTATTTATTGATCGGAATTCGGAACTACAGTATAATAATTATTAAGTCTCATCAGCCAAGTATAATTTTTGCGCATTTATAAAAAATGGACAGCATACTGATCATTTTTCAGCAACTCTAGCTGATTATTTTTCTGTTAGGGTTATAAAGAGCTACTCACTATGTTCATTGAAAAGAGCTGTCTTACTTCTGAATGACATATAGTAATCTATAATTAATAACAATTATTGAAATGTAAATATAGTTTTGAAAGAACTACACAAAAAAAATCTGTGGTACAAGAATCAGATTTGTTAACGTTTTCGTGAAAAGCCTTTGCAAAACAAAGATTAGCATACATTTGTTTTTAAATCTTAGTATGAGGACTTCACTTTGTTTTGTCCGATAAAAGTGTACTATTTTATTTTACACAACATAATTAAATAAGGTCCTAACCTGGAAACAATCTACTAGCTGAGCAGAAGGGATGTCCCAGGTACGGATTGTACAGTCCATCGAAGCAGAAATAACCCATCGGGAATCTGGGCTGAACGTAACGTCCGTAACTTGACCTGTGTGTCCTTCGAAGCGTCTCACGACGGTTTTGGTATCAAAATCAATGATTGACAATGAAAAATCCTCTAAGGACACACACAGTAAGGAACTTTCTCTGTGAGTCTGAAAGAAATTCACGGACTCTCCGAGTTTAAGGGTTTTTATTGGGTGTTTGCCTGGAAAATGTCAATGTTGATTAGAAACATGATTTAGAATTATACACATAAAAATATATAGCCTATAAATACACATCTACTAATTCACTTTTTTCTTCACTTTACAAGTCCTCCAGGGGACAGAATATTATGTGTAGGCCTAGGCCCTATAAATGCACGTGTGTACTTAATCTAAATTTTCTATGGCCTACCCGTCCTTTTTCAAAGGTAAGCTAGCGGTCCTTTACTAGTCTAAAATCCAAAATCCTAGCTTAAAGCATTTGGGCCATTCCAAAATTAAGTAGAATTTCCGACCAAGATTTTTTTACAAAAGAATATTTACATTTTTTAAAGTCTAATAACAAACTAAATACATATAGGCCTACACCATTTTTTGAAGGTTAAGAGAGAAACTAATATGGGGTGTCCCACGGAAGGTGCCTCAAACTGATTACGGAATAACGGCTTAACGTACAAGGATGAAATAAAATTATTTCCCGCTAAGTAATCGCAAGGAATAACATAAAAGTATTTTCAACTTGTTTCCAATAGGTACACGGTGTGCCAAAAAGCTACACTACTATTTTTAGCCTAGTCTAAGTTTATGTGGTGGTATTCCTCCTAAAGGTGCGATTGATTTTAAATATTCTATAAAAAAGGGTCTAATCAACGGCTGATTCCTAACTATTTTGTGACTGGTTAGGGTTCCATTACCCAGTTATCGAAACCAATCACGAAATTACTTTTCATCAGCATCCTCGACATGCATAAACTTATTTTTGGTTAGTTTAAAAAAACGGAAACTACCTCTAGGTTTTACTGTTATATATGGATGCTCCATTTACCACTGTGCATGCTAGGCTATATTATTTGAACCTTTTTTTGATTGGAGCAACAGGCAGTACCTGGTTAAAATCTCCTCCAAACAATATCGTTTTTTGCCCATTGGAACATGTCATAGTTACTTATTTAATGAACAAATCTATTGCCTGTACGAACCTATTTCATCTTTATTCCCAGATTGTTTTCTTAGGGCTGCTTTCCCCAAATCAAGTTTAACTTAATCTCGGTTAACTTTAATCGGCGGGTTTAACTTAGGATGGCTTTCCCCACTATTTTGTCATGGAAGTTTAGTTTAACCTAGCTTTTCTTTGCAAGCAACAATGTTGGCAACACTGTTATGCAATTAATAAAGCACGGTACTGTAGCCTATCTTTAGAAGAATGGAAGCATATTTCAGATAGGCCTACGGGTACACTTCCATATCTGTTGGCACTAATATCGAATGAGTACTTTTTATCGATATATCGAACAATCGATATATCGATAAAAAGTACTCATTCGATAGTTTGGTTAGTTAGGTTAGGTTATATAACGATTAATCGATACATCGATAAAAAGTACTCATTCGATATAAAAAGTACTCATTCGATATTAGTGCCAACAGATATGGAAGTGTACCCAGGCCTACTTCATTGGGCCTATTTTAAGATAAATATGCCCTACTGCACTTAATTCTTCATTTTCCACTTACCTCCAGTTTTAAAAATCCAAAATTTGCAGAGCCCATCTCGACCTCCTGAGACAACAATTTGGTTGAGCGAGTCTACAGCAACACCTCTGACAGGTCCAGAATGAGCCAATGGTGTACCATAGCTACTACGGTGAATTCCAGACTGGATGTTAAAACGCTCTATGTTACCAGAATTGTAGCCAATGACAACGAAGTTTCCACAGTGAGTTAGACAGAGTGATAGAGCTGTCAGTTTGAGTTTAGGTTTTACATGTTCCCCTTTCAAATTGCTCGGGAATAGCTGTAGCTCACCCATTTTTTGTTTGTGGAATGACCAAGTCGTAACCACTGGTAATCCTAAATGGGCTGCTGCTATATTATCCCATTCTTTTTCTCGTGTAGTTTCAGAAGTGAACTGAACAATAGGTGGCATTTGTAGACGAACTGCATCAAGTTTTCCTTTCTTTTTCGCTAATTTACGATTGAATGATCCTTTCCCAAGGCTCTTATTAGCTGTCTCAGAAATAGTGTTGAACACCCTAAGAGATGAATCGCCACCAGCAGATAATATACTTTGTCCATTATTACCATGAAACCTTATATAGGATGGAGGTGCTGCATGACCTTCTCGTAACCGTAGCAATCTTACTCCCCCATCAGGCAAGTCAAAGATCCAAATCTTTACAGAATTATCAGGTGAAGATGTAACCATTAAAGGTTCATTTGGGAGGCAATGTAAACCAGAAATTGCAGCATCATGGCCATTTAGAAGCTGTGAAGCAACTTTTCTTTCTTCCAGATTCCAGAAAACCACGTGTCCCGCTAATGTTCCAGAAGCCATGATTGGTTCCCCATCTGTGCGGAAGGATAAGGATGTCACTGGGCCCCAATCTTGCGTAAACTCCATAACTGTCTCGTCACATTTGATGTTGTGCAAGATTATTTTCCCACTTAATAATCCAACTGCAATAACGTCAACTGCTGGAGCCTGTTCCAGTTCTGTCACCGAACTACTCCATCCGGGAAACGTGTAAATAAGCTTGGATGTTTTAAGGTTCCATAGTTGCAGTGAACCTTGTTGGCTTCCAAGTAGAATTTTATTCAAATATGTACTAGGGTGGCATAGTGCAGATACTTGAAAAACGTCATTATCAAAAGTCAGTTCAAGATATACTTCCTCACTTTTGATATCCCATACTCTTAGTGAACTTGACTCGTCCACAGATATTAAATGAGGTCCAAAGGGAAGTAATAAATGAATGGCTTTATTATGCCCTGCGTATGTATGCTTCAGCTCAGTACCTCGTCTCCAGGCATAAATACAGTTACCGCTTGCCGAGTACACATGATATGTGTCTCCTGTCATACAAGTGATTTCATCATCATGCAGATTACTTACAGCTAGAAGTTTCAAATGTGTGCTGCCATAGGTGTGAAAAGACTTTCCTACACATGTGACGATTACGTTCTCTCTTCTTTTATGAATATACCTTACTACTGCAGGAATATGGTTGCTAACATAACCTAGGGCTCTGTGGGGTAAAAATATTTTGCTGGAACCTGGCATTTTAGAATCGCATTAACCAGAGATACTCATATACAATCACAAAATAAGCATAAACTGTATCACCTTTCGAGCTTTTTCTGCTATGAGAGATTTGGGCAGCTCTATTAATTAATTTACAACACGAAAAATATAAATATAACCTAAAACTCAACCATCATAACCTCAAAATTCAACACACCACAAAACACAAACAACACTTCAATTTCAATTCAATTCAATTCAGTTTCTAGGAGTGGAGTGGGAGTGATGAGTGGGGAGGTTGGGGGAGAGGTCGAGAGGAAACAAGAAAAAGAAGAAGAGCTACGATACCGAAAGAGTAAGATGTAAAATACCTAATTCCATGATTTGAGACATTGATTATAAAACAGGATCAATTTTTAAGTTCAACTAAATTGACTAATTAATTAAATATGACCGAGTGGGGGAAGGTATGGGGGTTTAGTGAGTCGGAGAACATTTCGCGCCGTTCCGGCCAAACCTCGCATGCATGCGGGGTTGGTTCGGCAGATTGGCCACAACCTAAACCCCAACTCTCACTTGTTAGCTGCGGAGAGCCGGAGAGCTACCTTCTGCCACTGGGTGTTGGTCCACCTACAGTACCAAGTGAGGGGGTAAAATTCCGGGGGTAAAAATCCGGACCGTACAATTTGAGCTGACCTCATGAAGGGGGTAAAAGCCCGGGGGCAAAATTCCAGCCCGTACACTCTAGGTTTTTATAATTTGATGTGTTCTGATTAAATTCACAACCATGACAATATACGTTTAATAAAGCGTTTAATCCATCGAACTGATGTTGCGAAACTCAAACGTTCACGGCCGGAATTTTACCCCCTGGTTTGTGACGTCACGTTCGCCCAGGGGGTAAAATTCCAGGGGGATAAAAATCCGCTACCCCAAATGAAATGAAAGACTTCAACCATCAACCGCAATTCAATGCTCTGTCTGATACTGCCCAGTCAGTGTCCACTGCAGACCTAAAGTATAGCGCCATATAAAATTATAATTTATCTATGGTATTTCTTCAGCGTTTTTGTAAGGTCATAACGTTTGCTACATATCCTAGAACTATGGCCACATCATAATTATTTTTTACTGTTGGTAGCCACGATGATATACATTGTTTTGTTATTATTTTTCCGCAACGGGAAAATTGAAAATTAGATAATTTTTGTTGTGAGAACAGTTTATTTCATAACACCTGTTAATTTCTATTAATTATTATCATATGTTTATTTGTTATTCTATGTTTGTAAAAAGGTAAATAAAGTTAGTTGAGTTTAAGTTATGACATAAAACAGTGCATTCACTTAATTCTTAGTAAAATAGTACATGGTGGCAGCGGTTTAGAGCTATGCCTCAGAAGAGAAATCCAAGAAGGAAACAATCTGACTATAAAGATAATGAAAATGAAAGAAGCAGAGAAAATGAATACAACAATTCAACTAAGAAGTCCATCATTGTATCAAACACTCATTCAGTTATTCAACCTCCAGCTAGTTTCTCCTTTGTACCAGCAGATTGGCCAAGATGGAAAACACGATTTCAAAGATATCGGTCAGCATCTGGGCTATCTGAAGAGTCTGAGAACAAACAAATCAACACTCTTATATACACATTAGGTGAGAAAGCTGATGAGATTTTTGCATCTTTTAATTTAGCAACCGAATCAACGCTAACATTTGAAGAAGTCTTAGATTTATTTGACAAACATTTTATTCCACGGAGGAACTTAATTTTTGAAAGAGCAAAGTTTTTGAAGAGACAACAAAAAATTAATGAAACAGTTGAAGAGTTTATAGTTAGTCTCCATTCCTTGGCTAGAACCTGTGACTGGGGTTCACTTAATGATGAAATGGTGTTGATGGTACTAATACTGGGTTTAAATGATGAGAAACTTAGTGATCGCTTGTTGCTAGATCCCGAGATGAATTTAGACAAGGCCATTACAGTAATAAGACATGCAGATAACGTAAAGAAAGAGAAGGCAGATTTATATGATGAGAAAAGAGTTCAAATTGAAGCAACTACGTCATCGAGTTCAAAACAAAATCAAGGATATAGGTTTCGTCAAAAGAAACAAGAATACCCAGCGCAATGTATCTGGTGTGGTTATAAACCGTCCCATCCAAGAAGCACGTGTCCAGCAAAAAGCGCAACATGTAACTTATGCAAAAAGATTGGTCACTTTTCGAAGGTCTGCAGATCTAAAGAAGCACAGGAAATAACTGACGAAAATGAAGTAAGTGAACTTGGACCTTCAAATAATAAAGTATTCATAGGTACACTTGGGGATGGGTCAAAATGTAAGCCCTGGAAACTAGAATTAGTATTTGAGGGAAAACCACAAACATTTAAAATTGATTCAGGGGCTGATGTAACAGTAATTCCCCCTGGCATAGTTGATCCAAGTAGGATCCAGCCGACTCTAGTTGAGTTGTTTGGGGCTGGTAGAACAAAATTAGAAACTGTAGGTTGTGTTAGAGCTAATATCCAATACAGAGATGTTAAAATAAATCACATGGTATACGTAGTGAAGGGACTCATAACACCCTTGCTTGGCCGTCCAGCAATACAGGACTTGAAAATTTTAACTTTTGTTAATTCAGTTGCAGAGGTAGACAGTGACTTTTTTACCGAATACCATGAAATGTTTAGTGGTCTGGGCGTCATTCCTGATCCCTACACAATAGCACTTAAGGATGGCGCAAAACCATACGCAATAATCACTCCTAGGACAGTACCTTTACCCCTAATGTGTCAAGTGAAAAAAGAACTAGAAAGTATGGTACAAAATAATGTAATCACACCAGTTGAGCATGCTACTGAATGGTGCTCAGCAATGGTAGTAGTGCCTAAATCTAATGGAGATGTCCGCATATGTGTTGACTTAACAAAGTTGAATGAATCCATCCAGCGGTCTTATCATCCGATTCCCAAAATTGAAACGTCTCTCAGCTCAATCTCAGGAGAAAAATGGTTTTCAAAACTTGATGCAAACAGTGGTTTTTGGCAAGTCCCCTTAAATGTAAATTCCCAGGATCTAAATACTTTCCTTACCCCTTTTGGACGTTTTAAATTTCTCAAACTTCCATTTGGAATCACATCAGCACCTGAACATTTTCAGAAATGCATGAACAAAATTCTAGACAACCAGTCAAATGTCGCAGTCCATATGGACGATATTCTGATTTGGGGCAAAACGAAAGAAGAACATGATACAGTTGTTCGGCAAGTACTTGAAAAGCTTAAAAATGTAGGAATGACACTTAACAAAGACAAAACTGAGTTTGGGAAGTCAAGTATTAAATTCCTTGGGCATTTCCTCTCATCCGATGGAATTTCTGTTGATAAGGAAAAGGTTTCCGCCATTCTCAAAATGGACTGCCCAAAAAACGTAAAAGAACTTCAAAGGTTCAATGGGATGGTAAACTTTCTTGGTAAGTTTATTCCTGACAAAGCTAAGATTTTGGCCCCAATGAATTCACTACTTCAAGCTAACGTTCCATGGATATGGGGTCCAGAGCAGGCGAAGGCATTTGATGAAATAAAACGCATTTTGACTAACTCTCCTTGCCTAGCCATTTACGATGTAAATCGGGAAACAATTATCTCCTGTGATGCCTCGCTTCAAGGACTAGGATCAACTCTTTCTCAAGTTCAAGATGATGGTTCTATACGACCAGTATCATTTGCATCCCGAAGCCTTCTTCCTTCTGAAAAAAAACTATGCAAACATTGAGAGGGAGGCTACAGCTGTTGCTTGGGCATGTGAAAAGTTTCAAGAATTTATTATTGGCAAGAGAATAACAATACAAACAGATCACAAACCACTACTTCAAATTTTGAAATCCAAACATCTTGATGAATTGTCTCCAAGAATTCAAAGAATTCGATTGCGTCTCATGAGATATGATTTTTCAATTACTTATATTCCTGGAAAGCAGCTTCTAGTTCCTGATGCTCTTTCAAGAGCACCTCTCCCATTTTCACGTACTGATGACCGTGAGTTAGAAGAAGAAACTCAAGCGTTTGTTCAAATGGTTTTGTCGTCCATCGATATAAACGACTGCATAGTTGCTAAAGTATTGGAGGAACAAAATAAAGATCCGACTTTACGTGAACTGAAAAAAATAATCATCCAAGGTTGGCCTTCTAAGACATCATTACGAGATAACCTAAAACCGTATAATTCAGTTAAGGATGAGCTAAGTGTTGATAATGAGATGATACTACGAGGTTCAAGACTTGTAATTCCGCCAGCTCTGCAGTCTTGGGCACTTCAAAGAGTACATGAAGGTCATTTTGGAATCACCAAGTGTCGTTTACGTGCAAAAGAGTCAGTCTGGTGGCCAGGAATTTCTTCAGCCATTGAAAGTATGGTGAAATCATGCCCTACTTGTATTAAACATTCAAGGAACAGTCATGAACCATTGCTTCCCACACAATTCCCTGACAGGCCATGGAAAACACTTGCGATGGATTTGTTCAAACTTGAAGGCGTTTGGTTTTTGACTGTGACAGATTATTACTCCAGATATTTTGAGATAGCTGAATTAGAGTCATTAACATCACGAGAAGTAATAATGAGATGCAAAGCCTTTTTCTGTCGACACGGCATTCCAGAAGAAATTAGGTCTGACTGTGGGTCTCAATTTCAAGTCCTTGAACATTCAGATTTCAAGACATTTTCCAAAGTTTATGGCTTCAAGCATATAACAAGTAGCCCAAAATTTTCCCAAAGCAATGGAGAGGCTGAAGCGGCAGTCAAAATTGCCAAAATGATTCTAAAGAAAAATGTGGAAGACCCTTATTTAGCGCTTCTAGCCTATCGAACGACACCCCTCTGGAATGGGTTCAGTCCCTCTCAGCTTCTTATGAACAGGCGATTACGGAGCACATTGCCTCAGACAGGACATTTGCTTTGTGGACCAGATCTAAAGGATCTTAAAGGGAGAGAAGAAACATATCGTGAGAAGTACAAACACAACTATGATAGAAGGCACAAAGTGCAAACTCTCAATCCTCTTCATATAGGAGACCCAGTTTGGATTGTGGACCTTAGAAGACATGGCAAAATTGTGAAAATCCTGGACAGCCCTCGTTCATATATTGTTGAAACTGATAAGAGGAATGTGAGAAGAAATCGATTCCACCTCAAACTTGCCCCTTATTTAAGAGAGGAAAACAGTGAACAAAATTTGTCAGCGAATACACATCAAACAGAACCATACAACACAACCGTCCAAAGAGAAATATACACAAACCAAGCTGGTTGAAGAACTTTCAAACTTAAAAGGGAGGATGTTTATTTGTTATTCTATGTTTGTAAAAAGGTAAATAAAGTTAGTTGAGTTTGAGTTATGACATAAAACAGTGCATTCACTTAATTCTTAGTAAAATAGTACAATTTTGAACTTTGAGGTTAAATAAAAGTAAGCAATAAACAAACGATCTTAAAAGATCTAGTGTTGTTTAAATTCGTAGTGCTTCAGATCGCCTTGTATTGATAATCCATAGTTGTTTAATTTAAACAGTTAATGATAGTTTACCAGTTCAATTGACAATCTAAAATTAATTTGTGCCTATGGACCACCAGCCAAGACCTACAACACAAATTTAAGGTTAGTTTAAAATGTAATTGGATTTTCTTAAGTAATCACTTTCAAATTACCTAAATTTAAATGTTTACGCCTAAGAATTGAGAGAATTTGACTTAAGAAATAAATGATATCACCAATCTTGACACATAAATTAACTTAACTTACTTCCTCCTTTTTCCTCTAGGCTTGAGCAAGCAGTGAGAGTAACTAGGCCTGCGATAAGCTTATTTTATGGGGAAAATCACAAAAGTGGCAATATATTTTTAACCGTGTTTTTTTCAACATTGGGGTTGTTAGCCAACAATTTGTTTTAACACTTAAAAAAGCACTATAAGCTTAACTTAGGCCTATCAAACTTGATTTCAATCAAAAATCATTCAAGCCATTTTGGTGAAAATCAGATTGCTAACTGATAGCCACGAATACTAGAATAAAACCGGTATGGATCATAAACATAAATGACGTTGTTGGCACGAATGCTATAGGCCTACTAATGGCTTTAACATATGTTTTGGCAGTTCCATTTTTAAGCAATGTTAAATAATGTTTATTTTCGGGCCCAAAAAGTAACTTAATTTGTTTATGTTTATGATCCATACTCTACCGGGTTTTTTCAAGTGTTTGTGCTAACAGCATTGACTGAATATGCCTTAACCCATGAAACTTGCAAGACACAAAAGTGGCCCGGCAGCTACAATATCTGGAATTTAAAAAAATATCTTAAGTTAGGCCTAATACATAAAATCGTCGAAACATTCAATGTTTGTCACGTTTGATTTTCAATAGCCTGCACCTAAGGGAGTATGCTTAATCTATGCCTATATGCAACCCTTGAGTGTAATTTACTCACACTATGGTCAGGTATTTTAGTGTAGGTAAATGCTATGTTAACTTATCACAGTAGGGACTTACCAATGGGAGCTGGGGGTACTGTTTGAATAAAAAATCACATGTGTTAAATATTTTATTTCATCATACAGTAAAATAATAGCCTGTACAAACGGTATTTTATCATTAGGGCGTAAAGTGACTCTTTTTGACCCGAGCTCAAGTTAATGAAAATAAGGGCTAAAAGAACCTTTTGCCTGTGTGATGAATTATATTTTTTGTCATATTGCACCATTACTTAACCGTTAAGAGTGCCAGGCGAGAAATTAAAGTAACGCTCAAAAAATGCCGATGATTTTTCCCGAAGGTCGCGCTAAAAATGCCGAGCGCGATCTGGCGATTTTTAGGTTAAAATTTTCGTAAAAATCGAATTTTCGATATTTTGACCAACGAAAATCGATGTATCGCATCTAGTAACTTTCGACTCAATGTTAATATATGGGTTAAAAGAATCCGAGTATCCATTCGGTTGTTATGACAACTGTTCGATCATTACGAAACGTCCGGCCAGCCGGACGTTGGCACTTTTGGCTCGTTCTAAAAACATCCGGTCGGCCGGACGTCGGCACTTTTGGCTCGTTTTAAAATCGTCCGGTTCCCCGGACGTTGGCACTCAAAGGGTTAAGAAAACTAAGTTACAACTAAAATACTTTTAAGCTAAAGAAAACCTCTCAAAACGACTATAATATAGGCCTAAACAAGCATGTGTATTGTAAGTGATTAAATCATTTGGTGTATTACGATTGTGTTAAACTGTAGGCTAGGCCTACATTACACTATTGATATGTCGAACTATTGACAAGAAGGCAAAAATAGAGTACAACCGGTAACTTACAACTGAGTTAACAAACAGCTGACTTTTAGTCCTTCCTAGAGACTAGAAACACTTTTTACTCCCTATGGAGAAAAACCTGCAACGCATGTAAGCTACTGTTGCTTTTGCTGCAGTACAACATAAAAAGGTACCGTACTTTCCTGTTAAAGGGAATATTCAGTATTATCGATGATATTTCTTTTCGATATATTGATATTTTTATTATCGTTTACGTCCCATATTCCTTTTGTTTTAATATCTTCAAACGTATTTAAATTACAAATTGAGAACTAACCTTGTTTAGACAAAAATAAAATGTATGGATTAAGAAATGAAACTGTTCTAAACTAAACCTTACATTGCTAATCAAACTTGCTGTACCTGTACCATTTTGAAATTCCGTTTGAACCAACAGAAAAAGCATTATTGGGAATAACGAACAAAATTTTGAAAATGTAATAGCAAGTTTGGTTAGTTGTTAGCTTATAACAGTTTTCATTTCAATAAAATATTTTTTTTATTGTTTGTTGATACTGAACAATATTTATTTAACATAGTTGTCAGCTGTATGTTTCAATTCGTTAATATCGCAATATCAGATCAAAATTAAAATATCGATGTATCGAAAATAAATCATCGATAATAATGAATGTTCCCTTTAACAGGAAAGTACCCCAAACAAATGTAAGATGGAAGACTTGGATTTCACAAAACATAGTGAACATCACTAAATATTAAAGAATTAGAGTTTAGCTATTAAGTTCATTTAGGCTACAAATTTTTTTCAATTTTAGTTTAAAATTTTATTGGTCATAAAAAAGATTATTTTCTTGTAGAGAGATGGTAATTTTTTCTTGTAGAGCTTCACTCCCTAACGTTTAATTTGCAGTATTTTTAGAGTGTTTATTCTTTCATTATGTTGCTGATTAACTTTCATAATAACAGGTTTAAATGTGAATTTTAATTTAGCAGCTGATAGCTCAGTCAAATGTTTAATAAAGGTAAACAAGATACAAACTGTTTTGGAGAATCTTTTTCAAATAGATCACGTTTTTGTGTCCCACCTACCTCACACTGACACGCGACGGTAAGTGTTATTTTACCAAGTGGTTTTGTTACATCTAATTGTCTTAAGCAAACATAATCTTTGAAGAGTTAAAAAGTTTTGCATTATTCTTTTTGCCTCGGAAAAAAGTTTTGAACATTTTAAAATGTGCAATTTGGGCACGAGTACCCTCATATAGACTATTATTAGTGTAAGCGGTAGTTGTTTGAAGATGCATACAAAACCTATGATAATGATTTGTCAAGAGATGGGAGGTTAGGTTTGTAATGCTGCAACACAACAGCTCGATTCTTATAAAAGTTGCTTAGTTATTACTAGCTTGGTAATGGTAACTTCTAGTTGTATAGGCCACCTAAATACCTGTTGTAACATTACACAAGTAATCCACATTTTTATTTTATAATTTATACTCATAGAAACACAGAAAGTATTGCTTATAATACTTTTTAGCTTTCAAACATAATTTTTAACTGGTCTTAATTAATATTCTGAAACAAAATAAAAGTAGCATTCCTAGAGGCTGTAGAATCAAGTTGGAAGTATGGAGTAGGGAACGTACTCCCTTTGGTTTTGTATTTGGAACAGTGGTGAAGTGTCACGGTCGGAAACCTTCTCTGTGCAGTTCAACAACTCGCTCATGAACGAGATGTAGGTTATAGCGAGCCGCAGGGTTTCGATTCTGGAAAGCCTCTTCTCGTAAGCGAACGTGGGAACTTTTCGTCGAAGTTTGTCAAACGCCTCGTTCAGGTTGAACATCCTGCGTCGCTCACGGATGTTGGCGGCCCTACGCTGAGCCATGGTGGCCACGCGACGTCGCGTCTTCTTGTGCGGACTTACACTGCTAGTAGAGGAAGCACTACAACTGCGTTGACCAAACCTGTGGAAATGGTTTTGTATTAGGCTAAGTATTGAAACTGTACAATTTACAACCTCTCTTTAGAGAGTTCTTTATTGACATTTTGAAATTAATTTTAAATCTTGAAAGAGTTTAAACATATTTCATAACTAGCTGTAACCCGCGGGCTTTGCCCCGTTTAACTTCTTAATTTTCAAGATTATCTCGTTCGCATGGCTCAATCACGTCCTGGTTGAAGTTTGTTCGCTACGCTCACTCACCTTTAGGTTGGAGCTCATTCGCTACGCTCACTCACCTTTAGGTTGGAGCTCGTTCGCTGCGCTCACTTGCCTTCAGGTAAGCTCGTTCGCTACGCTAACTCACCTCCAGGTTGAAGTTCGTTCGCTACGCTCACTCACCTTTTGGTTGCAAATTAGCTCTTGTCATAAATGTAAAAGAAATAATAGTGCTGCACCCTGTTGGTAATCCTTGTAACTTTAATGCTATTGAACATCATAGAATAGAACCAACTTGTTTAATTGAAATAGCTGTTAAGATTCAATAATTCCATTTCTCATAAGGTTAACATGGGAAACTCCAGAGCCACTGGGGCGGAGCCCGAAAGGATTTTTGAAATAAGAATATGCCTATATGTTAATTGGGAATGTAAGCTATCATCATGCCAAATTTCTGCCCAATCCGACCAGTATTTTTCGCGTTCACTTGTCACAAACATACATCCATACATCCATACATCCATCCATACATCCATACATCCATACATCCAAACTTTCTCATTTATATTATTAGTAGGATTAGTAGGATAAATTAGGGATGTATAATAAAATGCATAAATTGCCTGGGAAAGTATTTTTCTTGTGAAAGTTCAAAGCAAACATTATTTGTCTGACTCACACCACCTTTGGTTGAATTTGTTCTTGATGGGAGCGGACTAGGATCATCAACACGAAAATTCCCGTCCCCCACTAAACCTGTTCAAGTCCACATTTTAAAAGGTCGGGAACCATTTTCCATCCCAGCCTGGTTAACTCCCCAGGTTTGTCCCATAATATACAATGGAACTCACAATTTATGACAGCATACTACCTACTGCTAAACTTACCTTTGTTGATTACAAAACCAATTACTTGTGTTAAAAAAGTTTTTTTTTAGGTAGGTAGGCTTAGGTAGGTTTAGGTAGGCTGCAAGTTATGGCTGATTTAAAATGCTAAGACTTACCTTTGCTGGATCATACACTGCGCTCTGTGAGCTGAGGCGGGGCCAGACCAGAGCTCTGTGGAGCAAGCGAACCCTGGCATCAGCTCCGGATGGTAGCCGGGAGCACCGTGGTGGTCCCAGAGAGCGGAGTACGCCAACTCTCCATACCCTGGCGCTCCACTCACCTCCCCCTATAACATGTTTAATGGAACAAATGAGCTCTGTGGTGCAAGCAAACCCTGGCATCAGCTCCGGATGGTAGCCGGGAGCACCGTGGTGGTCCCAGAGAGCGGAGTACGCCAACTCTCCATACCCTGGCGCTCCACTCACCTCCCCCTATAACATGTTTAATGGAACAAATGAGCTCTGTGGAGCAAGCGAACCCTGGCATCAGCTCCGGATGGTAGCCGGGAGCACCGTGGTGGTCCCAGAGAGCGGAGTACGCCAACTCTCCATACCCTGGCGCTCCACTCACCTCCCCCTATAACATGTTTAATGGAACAAATGAGCTCTGTGGAGCAAGCGAACCCTGGCATCAGCTCCGGATGGTAGCCGGGAGCACCGTGGTGGTCCCAGAGAGCGGAGTACGCCAACTCTCCATACCCTGGCGCTCCACTCACCTCCCCCTATAACATGTTTAATGGAACAAATGAGCTCTGTGGAGCAAGCGAACCCTGGCATCAGCTCCGGATGGTAGCCGGGAGCACCGTGGTGGTCCCAGAGAGCGGAGTACGCCAACTCTCCATACCCTGGCGCTCCACTCACCTCCCCCTATAACATGTTTAATGGAACAAATGAGCTCTGTGGAGCAAGCGAACCCTGGCATCAGCTCCGGATGGTAGCTGGGAGCACTGTGGTGGTCCCAGAGAGCGGAGTACGCCAACTCTCCATACCCTGGCGCTCCACTCACCTCCCCCTATAACATGTTTAATCAAACAAATGAGCTCTGTGGAGCATGCGAACCCTGGCATCAGCTCCGGATGGTAGCCAGGAGCTCCGTGGTGGTCCCAGAGAGCAAAAGTACGCCAACTCTCCATACCCTGGCGCTACACTCACCTCCCCCTATAACATGTTTAATGGAACAAATGAGCTCTGTGGAGCAAGCGAACCCTGGCATCAGTTCCGTATGGTAGCCAGGAGCACCGTGGTGGTCCCAGAGAGCGGAATACGCCAACTCTCCATACCCTGGCGCTCCACTCACCTCCCCCTATAACATGTTTAATGGAACAAATGAGCTCTGTGGAGCAAGCGAACCCTGGCATCAGCTCCGGATGGTAGCCCGGAGCACCATGGTGGTCCCAGAGTGCAGAGTACGCCAACTCTCCATACCCTGGCGCTCCACTCACCTCTCCCTATGACATGTTTGTATCTGTAAAATACACCCTACATCTACGATGTCACTAGAGTTATGAAAATAGCCAGGAAACTTTATTTTGAGAATTCTACTTCTACAGTTTATGCTTCTTATATCTCTATTTACTGTTGTATCTCTATTTACTGTAGCTAAATTGCAGAATTCTGGACCGTGTGATGTAGGTGCTGTGTCCAAAATATTCCTAGCATTTTTAGTAATTACACAATAGTGTGATTCGCTGCATTCAGCTTTGTCCTGAAGGGGAAAATAAATTTTCCTCGAGGAGCTGGATGAAATATATTTAAAGGTGTTTTGTCTTACTCAAGAAATGATTGAGTGCAAAATCTAATCATGTTTTAATACCTCCATCTGTTCTAAGTCTATTATGTTCAAATTCAAATTAACTAAAATTAAATGATAAAACACCATGGTAGATTATTTAATTCTAGATTTCAATTTTTTGAAATTGGGTTTAATATTGAGTAATGTAATGGTGAATTATTTTCCATACATTATGTAAACTCAAAACCTGATTTTGTCTACAATGTTATTTAAAAGCTACCTGAGTGCAAGGGTGCCTCCAGAAAACTTTTAGGCCATTCATGGCTTATTACCGCTGGGTTCTAATAGTCCACAAAATTGTATAAGTCTAAGAGATTGTTAAACCGAAAAGAATTTTCGAGCTATGCTCAGGTCAGATTATTTATGTTAGAAGCGTTCGAGCGGTTCAATTTTTCAGCCGAGATTTTATTCTCCCGATCGCAGAAAGCATTTACGAAGATTGCACAATCGAAAATTCTCAATTTCACTCCATCGTAGGAGATCTCTATTTTTCCACGAGGATGACTTCCCCGCGATCGTGGAAGATATTCAAGATTCCACCTCAATTGCAAGGAGACGTTTGAGTTTTCCATTTAATGCCCACCTATGGTAGCAGAGAGTTCCCCGGCTACCTTACCAAGATTTCGCTGTGACCACATGACAGTTTCACGATTTTGTAGCAATCACGAGAGACCTGTCATGATTTTGGTGCAGTCGCGGGAGGTAATGTAAACTAATAAATTACAAATCTATCGTGGTATTACCAATTAATATTTTAGGACATCAATATTCTCCAAGTTATCTGATTTTGGCATGACTCGCTGTTAACCCGAAAACCGAAGGTCAGCATTTTTAACCCGACCCAAAGAGTCTAGCCCATAGACAACTACTTGGGGAACTGGGTTACATTCTCAAAACGTTTTTGAGCATTGGTAGCTCAAAAATGTGGTTTAAGTGTGTACTTTTTACAAAATATTGCACACAAAAACAAATGTATTTTCAACATGTAAAAGGGGTGGCCCTTTTATTTAGCCCCGAAAATATGCTAACATCATACACTTAACTCTATTTTTTGTTAAACTATTGTTCAACCCAATAGTTTCTGGTCTCAAGTTACTCAGTAAATTTTTTGCATTAATTTTATTTACCACTTAATAAAATATGACAAATTTAAAACGAGTTATGGACCTTCAACATGGAGTTAACATTAAATGATTTTTATTTCGAAACTTGTCTTTAGTTTAAGACATATATCCCCAATTCAAAATAACTCCCAATAAGTAATCCATAGCTAAAATAAAAGTCAATACTTTGACGAATTATTTAAGATTGAGTGTTGTGTGATGTGAACGAGTTTTGAGTGTTATTTCGATTTGGGGATCCATGTCTTAAACTAAAGACAAATTTCGAAATAAAAATAATTTAATGTTAAATGAAGGTCCGTGACTAATTTTTTATTTGACAGTTTTTATTTAGTGATTTATAAAAATTAAATCCCAACATTTACTGAGTAATTTGAAATCACAAAGAACGTGGGAGGTATTAACGACCCGAAATATAAATATTTTAATAAAAACTGATTTCTAAAAAGTTAAATTAAATATTGTGTTGGGGTTCGTAGCTCATCTCTAACTAGTCCGTTTTAATGATCAATAGCTCAAATGAAAGCATCACTGAATATTTTAAGTCTAGAACGAACTCCAAACGTTAATAAGGACTGGAGATATAAGGAAAATAATTTCAAAAAATGTTCAAAGTATGAAACGTCCATAAGAAATGCATGTGGGCCATGTGGGAGGGTTTTTGTTTGAATATATATTTAAAACAAAAAAAGATATTTAAAAACTGATTCCGGCACTGAAATCAGCTTGAAACTAGTCATTGATGTGTCACAACACTATCATTACATTTTCAAAATATTTATATCCAAGATGGCGGCCAAAAACGCGTTCCCTATCGAAATGAAGTACTTACTAACCACCTAATAAGTATCGGTGGTGGTCTCAAGTCAATTTCTCGAAAAATGTGCATAACGAAATGCATGTGGTAACTTTTTTTAATTTGTCCAATTTTGGGAAAAGCCGCCATTTTTAATCGTGATTTTAGAGGTTTTCCCGTTTATCAGTTTTTGCCAAATTTTAGTATGTTACTCTGCTCACCCGACACTACAAGTTAAAGCCATAAAACGTTAACTTGCAATTTTTAACGATCCCTTTTTTTAGTTTTTAGTTTAATTTGGACTATAAAAATGTTTTGCATTTTTTGAATCTTCTCATATTCGCCAAAATAAAGGTTGGACACCTTCAGACTTGTGGTCAGCCACCCCACAAATATTAAACAAACATTAAGAACAATTACCTATAAACTTTCCACTTCAAGCCCTTTTTAAGTCCATTTGACTAGACTGAGTTTTGAACCATCAAAAAGCTACTCCTAATGGAGCTACGTTATGGCCTATGGGTCACACATTATCTACTCCATTATATAATCACCAAATCACCCTGGTTTTATGTTCAGTCCAAATATACACCTAAATATTCTTCTATATTTTTGAGGATTGATTGATTGACTGATAAATTGAAAGAAGTTTACTGTTTAGAAAATAGACAAGTGGTTTTTACATAAAACCACAGAAAACATATTACTATATATAGTTATAGTAGTATGTTTTCTGTGATAAAACATAAGACATGTTTATTTCCAGTAGACATATTATAAATGTATTAGAAGAGTCAAACATTATTCATGCACAACAGTTGTCAAATTAACAAGTGTGTTTATAAATAATTGTACTTTGAAGTCTACGAAGAAAAAAATAGCATTTTAAGTTAATAAATACGTCTAAAACTAATGTTTATCAGTATCGAGAAGTGAAAACCATTTGAAAGTTTGCAAAACATTACAAAATTAGAAAGGTTGTACTACAAGGCATTAGGTGAAGGCACAAAAGTTAGACAATAACTAAAAACATCACTTTGAAAGGAAGGTCTAAAAAGTCTTTGAGATCGGAAAAAGGATTAACAACAAGCCATTGGAACACTTTGTTTAAAAGAATTATATGGGATGGGAGAGAAAACATAAATGTAGGAATCTTATTAATACATTCCATGCCCACTATTTCATAGCTTATCTTGTATTTCTCCAGTCTAACATAGGGAATGTCGAGTTTATTTCTGAATCGAGTATTGTGCTGGTGGACATCTTTACGGCAGTTAAAAGCATTTAAATTCTTAAAAGTATATAACAATAAATTAAAAATATACAAGTTAACAACAGTGAGAATTTTAAAATCAATAAAAATTGGTTTATGGTGTTCAATAACATCGACTTTGGCCATTTGTGTGGTTTTAGGCCCGGGAGATATAAAACCCTCTGTATTAAAAAAAGAAAAAAAACTATATATGCCTATTACGTTATGCCTACGTTATTTCCGTTATGAAAAACGGTGTAGTTTTCCTACGATTATGTAAACCACAGCGATAAATAAAAATTGGCTTGAATTATTATTATTCGAAAAACCTTATCCTACAAGGAAAGGACCAATGCTATCTTAAGCGCAAGGTTAAAGGTTTTAGTGGGAAAATATTCACTTAAATATGCTTTGTTGTTATCTAGTATTTCCGATGACAAGTACCTATCTGCTTGTATGTATTGTGTAATTACGCATTAAAAGCTGGAACTTTGTTTCATATAAGTTATCACGGCTTTGGGCCAGAGTCACGAAGTTCTGAAGAGCTAGAAATACAGAAGGTAACATTTATTTATTACGAGTTATGTATTGAACAAAATGTGAGTTCCAACAATGCAAAAACATTAGAAACAGCTGATTCTATTTATAGCCAGATGATCAAGAACCGTTGCTATTATTATAGAACGCTGCAAGCACTGTTTAGTGTTTACAAACATTGTTCGTCTAGCCTAAAAAAAGTAGATCCATTTTGACACTAGATGTATACGTCATGAACTGTTTTAAGTTGCGAGACAAAGTATGTAGTAATATAGGTAACGTTCTGATACTGTTAACCGCGGTCTCGTGTTCGGTGACGTTGATTTGTACGTACATTTTAAGTTAACTTTTGGTATTGTTAAAGGAAGGGGGATTCGGTTTGTTTAGGGCCGCTTTCCCCAAATCAAGTTTAACTCTGATCGCGGTTTAAACTCTAGTTTAACCTCAGATTCCCTTTCCCGAAAATAATTTCTCCGTTTAAACTAGGTTTAAGTTAACCCTAGGGGTGAGGCTGGTTTAACTGGCGATCCGTGGGTTAACCCAGGAGAGAAGAATAATAGCTTGATTTTGATTGGCTCTTGGCTGACTTGTTACGTTCGGCAGACGGCAATGGCAAATATCCTTGTTTGACATTT